GATTAGATAAGTTTGAATTTGAATGTTATTAGGATAGATATTATTGAGTGGTTAGGATTTTATCCGTGGCACTCCTAGGGCTATTTATACCTATTTTTTGCTGATTAAATTAATAATAATAGAAGAGTTTTTCCCTTCAAAACTTACATGGTATCAAAGCCGTGGCTGATCTAGAAGTGCCAATGGTTAAGACAGCTATGACCGGGGCAGTTACAGGCTCCTTATTAACCGGAGAAGTTGCTGAGAGTGCTATAGCAGTTCAGAATTCCCTACAACTAACGACTCACAAGTTGAATGGAAAGAATTACCTTGAATGGGCACAGACGGTGAAACTTGTTATAGATGGAAAAGGGAAACTAGGACACTTGACTAGTGAGGTGAAGAAACCAGCAGATGATGATTCCAAACTCAAAGCATGGAGATCCGAAAACTCCATGATTACAGCCTGACTTATCAATTCTATAGAGCCGGCAATAGGAAAACCATTCTTATTTATTCCCCCTGTCAAGGAGTCATGGGAAGCCGTCCGTGACACATATTCGGATTTAGAAAACCCCTCCCTAATCTTCGAACTCAAGACTCGGCTATGGAACTTGAAGCAGGGAGATAAGGAGGTGACAGCATACTACAACGAAAAGGTGACACTTTGGCAGGAATTGGATCAATGTTATGAGGACGAATGGGAAAGTTCTAAAGGCAGTGTGTGATACTTGAAGAGAGAGGAAGATGAAGGAGTGTACATGTTTCTTGCGGGACTTAACCGTGAATTAGATGAAGTACGAGAAAGAATTCTAAGTCGAAAACCACTGCCAAACATACGAGAGGTCTTCTCGGAAGAGGAGAGAAGAAGCGCGAAGAAACGTCATGATGAACAAGTCAAAAATCACACCTGAAATCGAAAGCTCAGCACTGACTTCCAAAGGCCCGGAAGTACATGGAGATAGAAGAAACTCAAGGCGAACAGATAAACCTTTGTGTGATCACTACAAGAAGGCATGGCATACACAGGAGACGTGTTGGAAACTGCATGGAAAACCTCCAAACTGGAAGAAAAAGGGAGATAACCGCGCATTCCAGGCTTCCAATGAAGATCAAGGGCAACAGTCTTCCTCAGAAAAGCTCTCAATCACAAAGGAACAATTAGACACTCTGTACAAACTCCTTCAGTCTTCCAATCTATCCGTAAATCCCTCATCCTCGTGTTCTTTAGCCCAGAAAGGTAACTACCTCACCGCTACCCTAGTAAGTGTCAGTCCAAATTCCAGCCACCCATGGATTATAGATTCAGGGGCAACTGACCATATGACAGGATCTGCAAACCTATTTGTCTCATATACTCCGTGTGCGGGGAATCAAAAAGTAAAAATAGCTGATGGATCTCTTTCAGCTATAGTTGGAAAAGGTTCAATTGTTATTTCACCGTCTATTACCCTTTGTGATGTTTTGCATGTCCCTAAACTGTCATGTAACCTTTTATCAATCAGTAAATTGATCCATGATATGAATTGTCAAGCTCACTTTTTCCCGTCTCATTGTGAATTCCAGGAATTGAACTCGTGAAAGACGATTGGCAGTGCTGAACAGAAAGGAGGACTATTTCTTTGAAGATGGATCGGCCTTGACAAGACAAGCCCAAGGCACTTGTTTCAATTCTATTTCTAGTTCTAGAATAAAGTCATGCTATGGCACTTAAGGTTAGGACATCTTAGGTCCTATTATCTAAAGTACTTGTTCCTAGTTTATTTATCAATAAAAATCCATCTTCTTTTCAATGTGAAATTTGTGAGTTAGCAAAACACCACCGTGCATCCTTCCCTTCACAGCCATATAAACCTACTGAACCTTTCTCTATGATTCATAGTGATGTTTGGGGAGCTTCTCAGGTAACAACACAATCAGGAAAAATGTGGTTTATCACATTTATTGATGATCACACTAGGATAACATGGGTGTACCTGTTAAAAGAAAAATCTGACGCCGAACAAGCTTTCAAGGATTTTCATAATATGGTAAAAACTCAATTTAAGGCTCAAATTAAAATCTTTCGAAGTAATAATGGGAAAGAATACTTTAACAAGATTGTAGGAAAACACTTTGCAGAAAATGGCATCATATATCAAAGCTCATGCACTGATGCTCCCCAGTAAAATGGAGTATCGGAAAGGAAGAATAAGCATCTCCTTGAAATTGCTAGAGCCCTACTTTTTACTACTAGAGTACCTAAATATTTGTGGGGAGAAGCCATACTTATAGCGACCTCCTTGATCAATCGAATGCCCTCAAAAGTTTTACAATTCCAAACTCCAATTCATGTTTTTAATAAATGTTTTCCCACATCACGATTGATAAGCAATATTCCATTATATTTGGATGCACTGCGTTTGTACACATTCACAATCATAGTTGTGGAAAACTTGACCAAAGGGCCAGAAAATGTGTTTTCATTGGCTACTCGCCAACTCAAAAGGGATATAAGTGCTTTGACCCAATTTCTCAAAAATATTTTGTTACAATGGACGTAACCTTTTTCGAAACAAAACCATTCTTTGGAGGTGATCATCTTCAGGGGGAGAGTAGGAGTGAAGATGACAACCTTAGACATTCCTTTGAAGATATTCTTCACATAGAACACACTACCCCAGACTCAGTTCTTAGTCCACAAGACCGAGACACACAATGCATTGCACCTGCACCTGACCGAGACACACAATGCACTGCACCTGGCACTACACCTACACATTCCACACCGGACCAAATCAATGAAAAAGATAATCCATCTCTTGAAAACTTGGATTCAGAAAATTCAGATAATGGAAACTATGAACAATTCTCTTCTTTGCCTGAACAAGACCACTTAGAAACAGAGATGTGTGCGAAACTAAGTGAAAAGGATATTGGGTTCCGTGTCTACGCAAGGAAGAAAAATCGTCAAAGGAAAGAAGCCACCACTATATAGCAATGTCATGAGTCCAATCTGAGGAAAATTTCAGATCCCGAGTCACCAGGTAAAACTCATTTGATTCCTCGTGTATGGGTCCGATGAGTCCTTAGAAATTCCTATAGCCCATAGGAAAGGTATTGGGTCATGCACTAAACATCCTCTATCTAGATTTGTGTCCTATGACAGATTATCACCATCCTTTCATACTTTCACCTCACAACTTTCCAGTGTCGAAGTTCCTAGAAATGTGCAGGAAGCTGTAATTGTTCCAGAATGGAGGGAAGCTTTAATTGTTCCATAATGGAAGGAAGCAATTCTTGAGGAGATGAAGGCCCTTGACAAAAATGAGACCTGGAGTGTGGTAGATCTTCTAGAAGGAAAGAAGACAGTAGGCTGCAAGTGGGTATTCACAGTCAAATATAATGCTGATGGGACCTTAGATTGATATAAGGCAAGGTTGGTAGCAAAGGGATTCACTCAGACCTACGGCATAGACTATTCAGAGACATTTGCACCGGTTGCGAGGCTAAACACAATAAGGGTGCTTATCTCAATTGCAGTCAACTTCGATTGGCCACTACAACAACTGGATGTAAAAAATGCATTCCTAAACGGAAATCTGGAAGAGGAAGTCTACATGGAGCCGCCTCCAGGATTTGACAAGAGATTCGGCTCAAAAGTCTGTAAGTTAAGGAATTATTTGTATGGTCTCAAACAATCACCGAGAGCATGGTTTGGGAAATTCACCCAATCCGTAAAAAGACACGGGTACACTCAGGGACAGACAGATCACACAATGTTTAAGTTCTCAGGGGGAAAGTAGTTATCCTAATTGTCTATGTGGATGACATTATCCTCACTGGAGACGATTTGTTAGAGATGGACAAACTCAAAAAATGTCTAGCATCTGAGTTTGAAATCAAAGATCTGGGGTCGTTGAGATACTTTCTAGGTACGGAGGTTGCTCGATCAAAGCAAAGAATTGTGAATTCTCAACGGAAGTATGTACTCGATCTCCTAAAGGAGACAGGCATGACAAGTTGTAGACCCTCTAAAACGCCAATGGAGCCGAATGTGAAACTCGGAGATAGCGAGAAGAAGGTTCCTGTTGACACAACTAGATACAGGAATTTGGTCGGTAAGCTGATTTATTTGTCACATATGCGTCCAGACATAGCCTTCGCAGTAAGTGTGGTGAGCCAATTCATGCATTCTCCATATGAAGAACATCTAAAAGCCGTATACAAAATCCTGATATACTTAAAGAGTACTCCGAGAAAAGGATTATTCTTTAAGAAGAATGAACAACGGGGGATTGAAGCCTATACTGATGCTGATTGGGCTGGTTCAATAATTGATAGGCAGTCTACCTCTAGGTATTGCACGTTTGTGTGGGGTAATCTAGTTACGTGGAGAAGCAAGAAGCAGAGCGTAGTGGCTAGGAGTAGTGCGGAAGCAAAGTTCATAGCTATTTCTCAGGAAATCTGCGAAATACTGTGGCTGAAACGTGTGCTTAAGGAATTAAGAAGGTCTATAGAACAACCAATGAGGCTTTACTGCGACAACAAAGCTGCCATCAGCATTGAACACAATCCGGTGCAGCATGACAGGATGAAGCATGTGGAAATAGACCGACACTTTATAAAAGAGAAGCTTGAGACAGACAACATATGCTTACCATTTGTCCCGATAACACAACAAATTGCAAATATCCTAACGAAAGGACTCCACAGACCGAAGCACGAATTTCTAATAAGCAAGTTGGGCATGAATGACATCTGTGCACCAACTTGAGGGGGAGTGTCAAAAAGATAAGAGATAATTAGTTAGGGTTGATTAAGTTATGTTTTAGATTAGGATATGCTTAAAGTCAAATAAAACAAATCTATTTCAAACAGATTCGTTATCCTAGGATTAGATAAGTTTGAATTTGAATGTTATTAGGATAGATGTTATTGAGTAGATAGGATTTTATCTGTGGCACTCCTAGGGTTATTTATACCTATTTTTTGCCGATTAAATCAATAATAATAGAAGAGTTTTTCCCTTCAAAACTTACATTATCCAATAAAGAGCCTGAACTTTCACGGGATTTTCGTTGTCTTCCTCTCTTTTTAGCAGATTTGATAGCTTGATTTTTTGTTTCTCCGGCCTCTTGTTCCTTAGTCTTCTGCAGAAGAAAAGACAATGCATAGTAATTCTGCAAACACCCATAACATCTCAATTTCAATTCTCTCAATCGAAAACATAGAAAATGTTTCTCTTTCTAAGTAGTGTAACCTTGACCAATGAGCTTTATTTGACAATGCACTAGAGGCCACTTGAATCGGCGAGTAAGATATGCTTTTCTAGTGTCAATAAACTTTAACTTGTGTTAGACATGATACCAAACACGAGCTAAAAAGAGCCAGAATTGTCAGCATGTTAAATCCCAACTCTTATTGGAATATGATACCAAACAAAGATTGCTTTGGAAGTTGAATTACCTTATCATCTCCATTTGGAATTACTTCAACTAGTTTATCACGATTAGAAATGCCAGCCTCTTTCTCCATAGTTGAGCTTCTGAAATAAGGCAATTTCTCAACACGAGGACTCAACTCCTTTCGATTGTCTTGTTTGTCGCTCAAACAATGTCTCCCCTTTTTAGTGTTATCCAATAAAGAGCCTGAACATTCATGGGATTTTCGTGGTCTTCCTCTCTTTTTAGCAGATTTGACAGCTTGATTTTCTGTTTCTCCAGCCTCTTGTTGCTTAGTTTTCTGCAAGAGAAAAAAAACAATGCCTTGTAATTTCTGAGATCACCCATAACACTACATTCTCATTTCTCTCACTCAAAGCCATAGACAAATGTCACTCTTTCTAACTTTCTAAGTAAGAGTAATCTGATCAATGAGCTTTATTTCACAATGCACTAGGGGCCACTTGAATCAGAATGGAAGATATACTTTTCTAAAGACAATAAACGTTGAACTTGTGTTGGGCACAATACCAACCACAAGTTAATAAGAGCTAGTACTGTAGCATGTTAACTCACAACTTTGTGTTAACCACGAGGACTCTTATAGGAATTTGATACCAAACAAGCGTTTCTTTAGAAGTTGAATTACCATGTCATCTCCTGATGGAATTATTTCAACTGGTTTATCATCAGTAATAATGGGATTTTCTTTCCCCGTATTCAAGCTTCCCAAATAAGGCGATTTCTCAAACACAAGTACTCAGCTCCTTTTGATGGTCTTCTTTGTCACCCAAATAAGGTCCTTCTTTTCCAGTGTTGTCCACTGTAGAACAAGAATTTTCATGGAGAGCACACTCAGTCTGTTCTTGGCTATCAGAAGTGAATGTGACTCCCTGAAACAAAACCAAAATGCATTTTAAGCCACCAATACTGATTATAGTTTTTCAACATTTGTCTAACTTTAGCAACTTAAACTCACGAACACCAACACATTAGGATATTCCCAAGAACAAAACGAAAAAGAAAAAAGATTTTGACTTGAAGAACACCAAGAAAATACTCCTAAATAAGAACCAAAGGAGTTGAATTAAATTTGTTGCAGTCCAATGATTCAGTTGGTAATTAAATACAACTCCAGGTTAACTCGTGGTTGTGGATAAGGAGTCTATCTATTACGTATACTCAATTAGAGTAAAAAACATGGATCTTTTTGTGGAAAGTACAGCTTAATCATGGAAGACCGTGACAATCCCTGGTAGAAACATCATATAAGCCATTTTTTCCAATGCCGTATTCACGTGGCCCCACATGAGACAACACTGATTAAAAGGGTGACATACTTTGATCTCTCTAGCAACAGAACTTTCCCAAGGATAAAAATCAGCAAAATGACTTTTAAGACGAAAATAAAAAGCCAAAATAACCCAACATGAAATAAGTTCATTCCAACATACTAACAGTAGGGAAGCCAACTCATAAACATAAAAGTGACCAGTCAACCTGTATCTCATCCCCTACCCTCCTCCCAAGACAATACAAAAGGAGAAAAAGTTAAGTAAACAAAAGAACTACCTTTGATTTAGTGACCCATTGTCCATCAATCCATTCCAAGTGAGGCCTGAGTTCTGAGTTACTAAATTCCATCTCCTTCTTATGCCTTAAAGTGACAATGTACTTCTTCCCTTCAAGTAATTTAGTGACGAGACCCACCCACCAACATGAACCATGAAAAACATCCACCTTTTCCAGCAAATAAAAGTTATTACCCTCCATTTCTGGAGGATGGGGTCGAATCTGATCACAATTTACAGTTTCTTGTTGAGGACCTTCCTCTCCATCACTATGTGAGCTCTTGTACCTCACCAAGAAAGAAGTATACCCAACTTGCCCAACAACAGTTGCTGGCAACCAAGCACGGCAGGGAACTTCATCGTGACGATTTACTTCTACTTCTATACCCGGAGTGTAGATCAATGCCGTTGTATCCTTCAAAGGATAAATTGATGAAAACAAAAAAAAAAAAGTAATTATTTTCTCTCCGATTGAAAAGAATTTGAAAAGTCTACTAATTACAAAAGAGAATGCATATGAAAAGATGCCTACTTTGCTAAAGAGGTACAGGATAAAGATTCAAAATGGTAAATGGAATTCTTGGGAAGGAAAAGAAAACAAAAGTAGAAGGAAAAAAAAGGAATTTTGGAGAGCCCTGTCACCTATGGCATCTGCACAGAGTTAACTAGTAACTTGTAACTTCAAAGTTCATAACAGAAACTAAATATGGTAAAATGCATGCTTAAAAATTTCATATCGGGAGCAAAGAGAATACATTATTACGAGCACAACAAAAGCATACAAAACTCTTTTAATACCAAATATCACAGCAAGCTAACATCTTTTCACTAAATTGAAATTTATATGCAAGTTCAATCATACTGTGAAACCCATAGTTAGCTATATGTAGGGGGGGGAAAGAACCATAGATCATTCAGACAACTTCAACAAAAGAAGGTCCAAACTCCAAAGTAAAGACCATGCGAGTACATTTAACATGATATTTAAGGAGGGGGAAAAAAAAAAAGAAAACAACCAGAGCAAGCCAAAATTGCATAATTTAAAAAAAAAAAAAATCCAACAATGGTAGTCAAACAGCGAACACATTATTAGTCTATCAGAGAAAAGCCATCACCTTAGCATACTACCAAGCCCACAAGTAATATCATCTATCAAAACCTCGTAAAAATGAAAACTTTAAACTAAAACAACAACAAAACCCGGAAAAAAAAAAAAAAAAAAAAAGAAAACAGAATGCAAACAAGAAGAAAAGCATTGTTATGGCAAAGTACCTCCTTCTCGGGTCGAACCCATTTGGAGCCGACCCAGTCCCAGTGAGGCCTCATATCAGCGCGCCCAAACTCGAGCAAATCAAGCGGCCTCTTAAACGCAACGGTGTACCTGTCGTTCACGACCTTGACGACGAACCCAATCCACCAGATGTCCCGATGGAAAGCGTCGACAACCTCGTTGAGCTCGAACGGCCGGTCGGGGATGTCGGGAGGAGGAATGGGTCTGAGGAAGCGGGTCTCGACAGTCTCGACGAGAGGTTCGCCGTCTTCGGCGGAGACCATGCGGTCGTACTTCACCACGGCCGTCGTCTTCTTCCGCTTCCTGCCCGTGGGGCTGTACGGCGGCGGAGTCGGCGGAGGGCGGAGGATTTCGGCGGAGAACAAGGCGTTGGTGAAGCCTTCTTCTTCGGACCAGACCTCGACCTTCGAGCCTTTGGAGAGGAATGGGGGCTGATCATTGTACTCCATTCTTTTCGAGTTATGAGTAGTGAAGTCGAAGAGGGACGGTTGCTAGTGAAAATACGGTGACAGGCGAGGGAGAGAGAGAGTCGTGAATTTATACATTTATCGGGGGTTGGACCGTGGGAAGAAGGTGGAGTTGATCTTTTCACAAACAAGTTGGGTGTATTACAACAATTTGTGATTTGAGTTGAGTATTTAGATTAGAATTTAAGAGATGTTTGGTTGAAGGATTCAAACTATAATTTAAATTATGATTTATAATTTATTACAGTATTTTCTCTCATAAAAAATATACGTAAATTAAAAATAGTTTTAATCACATGATTCTAATCCATGAACCAAATGTCTCATTAGATTATAATTAAAATTAAAATCGGAGTTGGATTTCGTTTATTTTATTAATTTAAATTTAAAATTTGAGTTTTGTTACGGAAAAAAGCCCTTAGAAATAGTCACATCTAACCTTTTTACTAAAATAAAAAACTCTTACATAAAGTCACATCTCAACTCGAATTAATGAATAAATAGTGTTTAGGAGTGCACATGGTGATTTGTTATAACTCACAAGTTCTGTTGTGAACGTTTTTTTTTTTACAAAAATTTAAAATTAATTTGTTAGGAATTTATATTTTTTTAAGAAGACAGGTGTTCTCTGTTCATCAACCGTTAAATCTGTGTTAAATTTAATTAAAAGTTAAATCAGATTAAAAAAGTAATACAGATTCGACAGTTAATAAATAGATAACATCAATATTTCTAAAAAAATACTAAATAAATTCTTTTTTTTTGTTACAATATTTTTCTTCACGTACACAACTTTAGTTCTTTTAGAGTGTAATTTGAGTGTAGTTTTTTAGTTAAATTTGAGTTATAACTTGAGTTGAAGTTGTAACTTGAATAAAGTTGAGTAAAGTTGAATAAAGTTGGAACTTAAAAGAACATAAACTTAAATAAAGTTGTAACTTGAGTTTAATTTTTTTCTGAATTTTGTTGTAAAAGAACAACTCCTAAGTGTCTATCTTTTTCGGAAGAACGAAGTTTTGAAAGAGCAGAGCACAGACTAGCTCCCACGCTCTTTTTCTTTTTGAAAAAAAAAGAAAAAATTGCTAAAGAATGTAGATGAAGAGTTTGGGTTATTTTTACTTTTGACCTGTTGACCCTGAACTATAGTTGGTATAATAGAGTAGAAGAGCAGAAGAGAGGAATTTTTTTAGGGATTTAAAGTGTAAAATGAAATATTGAGGCCTCGTTCGTTTCGCTGATTCAAGTTTAAAATTCGAGTTGAGATGTGATTTTATGTGAGAGCTTTTTATTGTAGCAAAAAAGTTATATGTGACTGTTTGTGAGAGCTTTTTACTGTAGCAAAACTCGAATTCTAAACTCGAATCAACGAAACGAACGAGGCCTGTTGTTTGGTGGGGAGGAACTTTTTCTTTTTGAAAAAGGAAATTGCATTTCAAATAATTGATATTAGAGAGATATGAATGCCAATTGAGACGTGAAAAATCATAACACATTTAGCGATCAATCCTGATAATAGACCAAAATCATTGATAAATTCAATTGAAACGCTCAAAGAGGTAGTAATACAACTAATGAAACATACAAGTAGTTCTTTTAAACACGCCACTACAATAAATGGATATAGGGTCGGCTCTACTTATAGGTTAAAGAGTGGTTATATTTACACTTCTAAAATTGATAGATACCCCACTAATTAATAATTATAAGATTTGAATAATATATATTTTTATAAATATTATTTTTATATACCTAATTTAATTATCTCATGCTCCCAATCTAATTTTAATTTTCATTTAATTTATAAAATAATATAATCTCTTTCAACTATTAATATTATATTTCCTTTTAAAAGTTATTGTGGCCCTTTTCGATTGGTTTAAAATTTGTTACTTTTGGCATATTTAGTCTAAAAATCACTTTTGAACCTGTTTAGATGGATAATTTTAAAGTCGAGCCGGCAATATGGGTCACGACACGACTCGAAAACGACACGAATTTTACGGGTTAGGGTTGAGAAAAAAGATGTTCGGGTCATAATCGGGTCGACCTGAAATTGACACGAAAAACACGGGTCAATTTCGGGTTGGACCCGCCTAACCTGAACACGACACGAAACTCATAAAAAACTAAAAAATACATATATTTTTCATTTCATATTTTAAATTTTATTATGAACTTGTAATATCATGATAGTTATACTCAAAATCTTATACTATTATTTGCTTAATTTCAATGGATGTTATTGTAATTTAGTGTATTATGAATTTTAAGTTACTTCTAATATGTAAAAAACTAAATAAAAGTATACAATTTTTGTGTCAATTTCGGATTCACGGGTCAATTTCATGTCACGGGTCATTTTCGGGTCATGTCGTGTCAACCCATAAAGTGGTCGTGTCGTGTTCGTGTTGCGGTTTTTAAAAAATTTCGTGTCACGGGTTGACTGTAAATTTAAAAAAAAATGATCAAAACACGACACGAACACGACACGTGACACGAATTGCCACCCCTATTTTAAAGTACTTTTGGTTTTTATAAGCACTTTAAGAACAAATCATCTTCTTAGTGCTTATAAAAAGTTTTTTTATTTACATTTTTAGCTTTTTATTTGTGAACAACAAATTAAATATCTCATATATATCTTTTTATTACGTTACTTTGTATAACAATAAGTCTTTTTGACTTTTTTAACTAAGCAAGTTCAAAAGCTCTTCTTAGATACAAAAGTATTTTTTCACGCACTATCCAAATACTAATAAAAAAGTTCCAACTTATGTTTATCTTCTACTACTTAAAAGCACAAGCACGAGTTATTCCAAATATACTCTAATTCATTAATCTTTTTTATTTTTTATTTTAATTGGTGAATTTTCATGCTATAACACAAAAATTCATCCTAAAAACGAGATGGATGGCTAAACATTAAAAATGCTTTTGGATCACACAAGTCTCTCTATTGCTCCCTCATGATGCACTCTTCATAAGCTATAACAAGTTGCATTTCAATCCTTATGGACAAATTACACGGATGCCTCCGAACTATAGCTTGTGTAACAAAATGCCCCCTAAACTTCAATTTGTAACATCCATCATCTCTAAACTTAAAATGTTGTAAATTTTCCCCTTCCGTTAAATTATAGACAGAAGTTGACACGTGGCACGAATTCATAGCAAGAATGAGGGTATTAAGTGTGCAATTACAAAATTACCCCTAAAATAAGTGTAATATGGAATTAAGTTGTCAATTTTTTTTTCTTTTTTTCTGGACAAATCTATCATCTTTCTTCTTCTTTGCTTGGACCTAAGAAGCTTTTGTGGTGCAACAATGGTAGCCAACAGTAGCAACAGAGATAGGAAGTTTTTTTGCTACTCAACAAGCTTTGGGCACAAAGGTAAACGCTAGGACGAAGAGATTGGTGGAGAAGTTGAAAATAAGGCTCACTCAAGGATGAAAATATCGACATTTTTATCGATATTTTCATAAAAATTTTCGTATTTTGGCAGTACCGATATTGAAATAAGAGTGTAACATTTTTTTTGCAGAATATCTTAAAATTTTCACGGATATTTCCATAAATATCAATATTTTTCACGAAATTTTCCATTTCCGAGGAGAACGTAGTGTTAAATAACCAAATATCGTGGAAATTTTACGGAAATATCGGTAAATTTCTACATAAATTTTCACAACTTTATATATATATATATATTATTTTACTTTTCAAAAAAATCTAAAAAATATGGCATGTCCAAAATTATATAAAGAACTATTCAAACTCTATGTCTTGGTATCAATATTGTTTAAACTAAGAATGTGTTCAAAATACCTTCCAACCTCTTAAAAGTTCCTTTTGATATTGATAATTTATCATCATGTATGAAACTATGTATGTATGATATATGTATTATGTTGACTTTCAACTACTTAATTTGTGAACGTGTGCTTAGTATTTATGATATTATGATCACACTTTACCTTACATAGTTATTAAATAATTAGTATGTTCATTGAAAGCTTCATCTAATTAATATATTATCATCTATTTTAAAGTTTTTAACATCTCATTCAAAAATAAAGTGTTTTAATATAAATCATCCACCGATATGAATATTTCTGTAAATATCGATATTTCTGTTCGCTAATATATCTTTATTTTGGCTCTCTGCTTGCTTAGCCTTCCGTGCATCCATTATCCATTTCAGAAATTCGAAATTCGTGCGCTTCTTCTTTGCTCACTAGAAGACATTAGCTTAAGCTTAGTTTGGTAGTACTGTGGATTTTTAAAAAAATTACTTTTAGTTGTGCTGAATGAATAAACAGTTATTACAAAAAGCAGTAGAGTGTTTGGTAAATTATAAATATACTAGATGTGCTGGTTCCAAAATCAATGTAATAGCGTTTGGTAATTATGTGGTTAAATTGTTGTGGGTAGTTAAAATGACCAAAATAGATATGATATGAAACTTAAATATATATAATTATTTTTAGTATTTAGAAATACTTGTTTAACTTAAAAAAAAAAGAAAAACATAATGCTTGTTTAACTTTAAAAAAAAATATTTAAATAAGAAAGGAAACATATAAAAATTTGTTTGAAATACTTGTTTAAATTAAAAAATAAAAACTTGATTTAGTGTTGAGGTATCTAACGTTAAATTTATAATAATTTTTTTTCCTTTTTTCATTGACAATATGTAGTTACAAAAAAGAAATGAGCATTTAGTTAGTAATCCACATATACAATCTAATTTATCATAAAGGAATAGATAAAATATACGTTCCACTCTCAAAATTGTGGTAAATTGTATCTTTCTCCTTTACATTATAAACTTGCTTCAAGAAGAGGACCTTTCATATTGGCAATGGGAGATCGGAACAATGTATCTTTTGAGCAAAACTACCATCACTTCCCATCTAGAGTTCATACTTAACTTAATTGCATCAGCAAGCCACGAAGTGAGCATCGCCTTTGTAGATATCC